TACAACACAGATATATGAACTAGCACAGACATAATAGATCAGCACAGTGAATTAGCAGACTCGAGGTACAACACAGATATATGAACTAGCACAGACACGCAGAATGTAGCCCATACGTTCCCCATGGGCACACACCTGGCTGAGATACTACGCTTGCGATTGGCTGTGCGGGGTTGGTGTCGTCGTCGTCGTCATATATTTCGCCGTAGTCGAGATCCTCCTCGCCATTCTGGTCGCCGTTTAGATCTGCTGCAGATACTGGGTGTTGTAGGGTTTCAGGTTTTGGGGGTTAGGGGTTGCCGGTACTGGGTGTTGTACACTGAACATATGAGATATGTCGGCGAATGAATGCCCCAACAGTTCCACTAAATACAACTACGTACGCGCACAAGTGTGTTGGAGGTGCAGGTGTGATAAATAGTAACGCGATAAGTCCATTGTATATAATATATTGTTATGAATACCCTAGTTTGCACTCAGCATATACGTTGAAGCGCGTATGTGATGAGAAACGAACCGAAACGAGATACGTGGGGTATGGAATGTATCACTAATAACAAACAGTTTGCGCTCAAAATATACGTTGAAACGTATCTGTGACGAGAAACGAGATATGCGAGAGATTGACAACGTCTACTCATTGGCTAATACCAAACAGTTTGCTACACACAATACTCGCTAAAACGCATATGCGGATGAGAACAACCCCCCCCTGCAAATGCCAATTTTCCGTAACGCTAAACACATTCCCACACCAAAATGAACACTCGACCTCTGTTGTGCAGTGTCAGGACTTACGAAGAGAAGCATGTTGGCTTGAACAGTACACAGTTGTATTTGACGCCAGAAGCGACCAGAGCATGCTGACTGCTGGTGACTGATATGTCTAGAGACTACATACAACAGGAGATGTCTATGGTCTACATACATCTAGGATCTGAATATGTTTGTAGTCTGCATACATCTAGGATCTGAATATGTTTGTAGTCTGCATACATCTAGGATCTGAATATGTTTATAACTTACATACATCTAGGATCTAAATAAGTTTATAGTCTGCATACATCTAGGATCTGAATATGTTTATAGTCTGCCTACATCCAGGAACTGAATATGTTTATAGTCTGCATACATCTAGGACATGAATATATCTGAGCATGGCTTTTGTCAACCTAAGAGGCTACATTTACAATGTGCAGTAAAATTTGTTGACTTGGGGCTGATATCTATTCTCAGAGTCGTTGATTCAAAAGTACCCATATGTGCGACTATACATAACTCAAAGCTGCGGCGTGACAAAAACATATACATACTAGTGCAGGTTTAGATATGACAACACACACACACAAACACACACGCATAGATATATATATATATATATATATATATATAATATATGTGTGTACTTATATATATATATATATATATATATATAAAGTATACGATAAACTATATTGTTATATTTCGTACACAGAGGACATGCACATACACGTACTAATATACTACATACCATCGTAGTCGGTGTTGTGTACATGCTCGAAGATCTTGTCCACAAACACTGCAGTGTCATCTCCGAGAAACACCTCCAGTTCCTCTTTGCAGCTTGCCTTGATTTCGTCATCGGTATTCTCTGTACTGAGCAGAGCCAACACATACTGCAGCAGGGTATCAACCTCTGAGTCTGTCCCACTATCCAATAGAAACCAAGCACACATAGATATGAGAGTAATGGGGGGGGGGGGGAAACAGTACAATAAGTAGGTGTGAAATTATAAATATAGATATCTAACTATACGACACGTCATATATAAATTAACTATGTGCCTGTTTGTAGATACACACACACACACACACACACACACACACATATATATATATAAACACACACACACACACACACACACACACACACATATATATATATATACACACACACACATA